ACTAATCAGTCAATTTGCTTTAATTATTCATTAAATATTTCAGAAACTGTTGTAGGAGAGGCTGAGGTTTTTATTTTTAGTATTTGTAAAATACAAGTTTCTAAACAGAACACACAATAAGGTATTATTTTCAGTTATACTTTTCTGGCTTAAATAATAAGCATATGTTGAAGCTTGACGTGTCTGAGATCTCCACAAGTACTAATATTTGAAAATTGTAAGTCTCTAAAACCTGATTTTTTTACTTCCAAAAGAAGTCAGATATGGAGCTCCTAAGCTATTTCTTGAAATAAACAGTGTCTCTTATTACAATAGCATAGGCACTGGATAATAACATGCACACTTGTATTTTTGGGCATTGCAGGTAAGAAAATGCAGAATTATAATCTCTAAGTAACAGATGCACTTGCTTTTTTTGTTTCATTTTTCTAAATAGAGCAAGAAAACAACCAGAAGTTCATATCAGGTTAACCTAAATGGTATCTATGTCATTATCACAGGGGGCATCTCCTCAATTAGCATGGTTTAAATCAGATCAAGAGCAGAGCTGTTTATTAATTTATTACCTGACAATCAGTGAACTGCTGATCAGTGTGGGCCACACAACAGACAAGCCACAGCACTAGACACTTGCCAAGTATTAATAAACACCTCCAAATTTTTGAACATCCTCTTAAAACTGATTCCAGGGAGTATACTCAAACTGGTGTGGTTATGCATGCAAACCCTCTCTCAGTGGTGTGTGGAAGTTACAAGCACACATTCCCTTTTCTGAGAATACATGTTCACCTATTTAAGCTTACTGTCTGTTGGAAATGTGGCTGCTCTACCTTCGTGTGCCCGTTTCTACTAATCCACACACCAGTAATAAAGCTCCCCATGAGCTCACACACACACACGTATGAGGTGTGGGCCACTGTGTGTTTAACCAAGTTCTGTCAGTCCAGGGGTTGAAATGCAGATTACTCAGAGCACCCAAGAGGGAGTCTGCTCTGCCAGGCCTAGCCAGAAGGTTGTGGTGCTGGCACATCAAACCTGGTAGGCTCCTGTTCTTTTACGTTGCTCTCACTCTAAGGTCTCTTGCCAGGCCGCAAATTTTAATGCTCCTTTTCAAGATGGCTCCTTCTCCTCTCAAAAGTTTCTTGGTAATCCCCTAGTTATTATTTGATCTGCTTGATGGTTGCCTTAGGTATACTTCGTCACTGTCAGTCTCCCCACATTGGTGATTTGGGGGCAAACACTCAGAGGACAGTTTCCCATGTTATGCTCCCATTCTTCTCACATCAGCTGTTGTTATCTGGGACGTGTTAATAAGCAGAGGCTGTGCAGACTCTTCACACCTCACTATCAGTTAGAATTCTCTAAAGGTATCAATGACTTAGAACCCAGGATTTGCATTTCCTAGAGGAATGACTATATATTATGCTCTCTCTCGCTTATCCTCTTCTATAAATTTTGCATCTGTGGATAGCAGCTCCCCAAAGAAGGAGGAGTCTTCCCTCCTAATACCTCTTGCAAACACTACTTCTGTTTTTGTGCTGCCTAGACTTGCATTTAAATGTTATAATATAAAATTCTAAGCATGCACCATTTCTCTAAGGGAATATTCTCATTATTTGGCTAAAAAAGTCCGCCTGATTCTTGTTTAGTCTCTCATCCCAACCTCATGAATATTGATTTCCTTGCTATACAGCAGTTCTAACTGCACTGCATGCAGCCATTAATAGGTACAGTGCCCTTCTAGGAGGAGACAGCCACAAGTTCATCTGTGGGGCTGAGCACCATAGTGCTAGGAAAAAGGTATTATTACCACTGTGCTTGTCATATCTGGCCAATGTCTGTTTGCCAAACAGAACTCAGTATTGTGAATCCTGAGTGAAGGGATGAGTGCCAAGTTAGGTGCCTCTGTATGCACACTGTGTGCACAGTGCCTCCTTCTGAGAGGCAGGAGAGGGGTTCAGACTCCCTTAATTGTCCACAGCAGCAAAGTCCTTTAAAGTTTGTATAAAAAGCCTAGTTGCAATGCTTCGTGTCATAGAGTGGCTGCTTTTGCAGTCTTTTAGTGGCAAAAATGATCACCAAAAGCTTGTTACATTTTGGGCACTGCAGTGTCTGAGCCAAGCACATAAAGCAGGTGGTCTGAGTATGATCTTACATATTTCTTAACTGAGTTAACAAATGTTGGGAGTACTCTGTAAAACTGAAAACAACACACTTTTTTTGGTCTGTATTTCATCTAAGGTAGACATGGGCACACAATTTTAATAGTACTGTTCTATCATGTACATCGGTTAAAATTGTGCCACGAAATGTATTGTTTGAAGGAGGTGAGTATAACTAGCTCTGTATTTGACATAACCTGTTAAGAAATACACTCAACAAAATGTATTTGGCAGGTTATGTTCTCAGTGGATTTCCTTCTCTCTCAGAGGAATACATGACTGTTTCACAGCAAATAGAGAAAATAAAGAATCTAAAATTGAAACCAGATTTCCTCGTTAACATTAAGGTAATGTCATCTTCAGTAACTTGCTAGTAGTTTTCTTAATTATTAGTAGACTCATACGCTGTGTACATCAGAGGATACTATTGTCCTCTGTGCAATTGGGTATAGTATTTATTGAGGTACAATAAATTGTTCTCTTTTACATTGGAATGGAATTTCACTAGTTTGTTCCACTATATGCATTGCTCAGGTGAAACAATGGACATTTCTTAAACCTCAGCAGCAGTTGTAGACTTTGCACCTCTACCGATTAGAAGATACAGGTTTTCAAGGGACGGAAACTTCAACTAACAATTACTATGGGATTTTGGATACATGTTCATGTTTTGCAGGGAGAAACATCTCACATATGGAAGTTAGCAAATTGTGGTGTTTTTCACTCACTAGTTGTGAAACAGCTTCTTAGTCATCATTAGTTCATCTTGTTTACAAATCTCGATTTCTTCATGAGCAGTAGTGTGACATACCAGATGCTCCACAAAAGTGACTCTGATATAGCCAGAGAAATATAAATCATTGTTAGCACAGGATTAAGATGACTTTCTCAGTGTAACTTAAAAGAATGGACTCACTGGCTGTGTCCATATTGGTAAATAAAACAAGGCAAGAGGGACTCATCAGACATCAGCCCAGCTGCCTTGGCCAAAGGCTGTTTACAAGTATTGTCGGTTGTTGGGGTCCTTGCGACGGATGGACTACAGCACACCATTATGATGCTCTGACAGCCAACTTTATTTAGGGCACCTAACAGTATTTATATTAAAAAGTCTCCCGTACACGCAGCTACGCACTGATCACACAACTTTGGATTGGTTCCTCAACTTGTCAATGCGTGCAGTTCTTACTTACGATAGGTTACGAGTTTAAGCTGAATCCTGCTCTCACATCCTCGGAAACTGATAACAAGAGCTACACAGTGTCTATGAGAACCTAAACAACAGCACTATTCCCAGCTTGTTAGCAAAACATCTTATCTATAAGGCAGTAAAACCAAAACTAAACCTAAAAACCCTGGCAGCAGAAGAGAACAGGACCATTATAAGGTGTTGGAAAGAAAACACAGGAATGCATGAAGATAGAAACAAGGTCAGCAAGACCTATTTTGTGCGTCTTGTTTTTAATTGCTTAAGCATTCCTTTAACTGTTGCTGAAGTTACAGCTCCTCTGCTAGCCAGGCCCCAACAGTCAGTTAGCATGGAGTGGCTGTGTCCTAACTTCCCCCTGGGAAGGACCCTAGGCCTGTGCCATTCTCCAGACCATGCCCAGCTACTCACTGGAATACTAGCTGGCCAAGCCAAACTTTGCCAGATTCCATGCAAACAAAATAACCATATGCATGGTCATGCACAAGGGTTCAGGCCCTTCCTCTTGCAACGTTCTGTTTATTATCAACTAGCTTATTTCTGTCTTTGAGTGTGCAGAAGGAGCTGCTGAGGCAGCTCTGCCATCAGCCTCTGGTGTGGTGCTCCATTCTTTCTGGGATTTTGATTCTAGTCGTCATATCTATGTGTTTTGTCAGATGCTAAGCCTCAGGGTGTGGACTTAGTCTATCACTTTGCAGATTTAACTCCATGTTTGTTTTAATCCCATACTTTTAAGACCTAATTTACTTGACCACACATAATGAAAATTTGTGGATGCCTCCACACCTTTATTCTGTGGTCATGGAAAGATCTGAAAACATCAGAGAAACGTATTTTTGTGCTGCTTTTCAGTCAGATTTCATTTTTTCAGAAAGACAATTTTTGTTTTAATGCCAGATAGTGAGAAATCCCAGTTCTGGAGAATATATTTTGTATAGTTTCAAGTGCAACAGTACAAATAGAAGAGTGATACTAACTGCACTAGAAAGAAAATTGAATTCTTGACTTCACATAGTAACATCATCTTCTCCTCTGGGAAGAAGTCTGAGACTAAATGCTCATTAAAAATCCTTGCCCCAAAGTCAGATGAATAACTTTGCCTTTGATTTCAGTAAGTTCAAGCTGTTTTCACAGATATGTCAGAATTGTAATTATTTTCATTAGATTAAAGAGAAAGGAAGAAGAGATTCCAGATAACACTGGGAATAATGAAATACTGTTTTTAGTAGACCAATTTAGACAAATTTTGTCTCTCCAAGAAAAAGATACTATAGCAGTACAATAAACACATGATTTCCTTTTAATTTTTCTTTGCTAGTGTCCAGATTATGACTTGTGTGAAAGAATATCAGGACTAAGGCAAGATCCTGGTTCAGGGCAGGTATATCAGAGGAGCCGGTGGGATTCTGAAGTAATTGAGAAGCATAAGACAGAGGAAGATCAGCCTGAAGAAGAGAGTGAAGAAGAAGACGAAGAGCAGGAAGAAGAAGAGGTGAATATTGCTAACCTCTGAACAGTGTAAAGTATTAGAATATACTTTAGACAAAGCAGAACAAATTCTGATAACCTAAAGTATCACCATACTGTGTTATGAATTCATTTAGTTTAACTTTAATTTTAATTCCATTTCTGTTGTGCTTTAAGAGATGTGAGATAGTACCTAAATGGTATGTTGAAATGACAGCAACTGTCCATCATTGTATAGCTTAACCTGGATTCAGTCTCTGCCTCTGAAGTCACTGATTTGTTTCTTGCCGCAAGTTAAAAGTATCAGGAGGAGAATGGTGACTGCATCATGTGTTTCTTGATCTAGGCAAATATAAGAGTTCTTAACTTTTGTCTATTGTAACAAGTTTTACTAGTATTTGCAGGGCACTAACTTGTTTTGTGGCTTTGGTGTTACACTACTACAAATTGATTTTCTTTTTTTCCATTAATTTTGAATTCTGGTTGAATTTTTATAATACTGTCCAGAGACTTATCAATGCAAGTTCTAGGCACATTCCTCTCCATTTCCAGAAACTATACTCCATCAGGACAGGATCATGGTCAGCAATCACTGGACTAATACTCATTGCAATACTCTGGAAAGTTATTGTGTTTACCCTTGGGGTGACAAAAATTATTGTAATACATTATTCCTGTATCTTGCAATTTGGTTCTGCAGACTGAAGAAGATCCACTTAGGACGTCAGAATCTTTTGATCAGTTAGTGCAGAGGCCTGAAGATATACTTGAAAATGCAGTGGAAAGAGTTGGAACATATAAGAATATAATGCTTCATCCTTTAGAAGTAAGAAAAAAATCAAAGTAATATGATTATTCATGAGGAAAGAGTTTTTAAAATATCTTGCACTGTTTTCATTGGGTTTTTTAGTCTGAGATTTATTGTGTGGAAGTGGTCAGGCTACAACATAGCCCCAGATTCCAAAATTCATTCTGAAATCAGTGGTACACAGTTGTCATCTGTAGGTGTTGTTTCTACTCTGCAGTCAAGATAAAGTAATTCACTTTGAGTTTTACAAGTGAAGCCGTGCCTGCCACCACGGTCACCTTCTGTTTCTAGTAGGTGAAGTATTTGAAGACTCCCAATGTTTTATCACCGTTACCAGAGTCCATTCCAGAGTCCATTCCAGAATGCAATCCTGTAAGAAATCTGCCCTTTGCATCCATTGCCTTCCACTCCAATAGATTCCCTTCCTCACCTGCTGAAGATGTATATACACAGTAATTAGCCCATCAGTTTGCTTTGTCACCTGTTCAATTTCTGCAGCTGGGACATTGTTTTTCATGTGGGTGTTCACGTGGGTGGCTTTTTTAGCCAAAAATAAAGCCAAAACAGGTCCAAAGCAATAATTCATTCTTGCATTTTCTTTCTCCTGGTACAAGCAACTGCAACATCCTCATGCTTGATGCACACTTGACAATTACTGTTTATTTATGCCCTTTGATTTCCCTGTGGATTAGTTAAACCTATAGATTAAATTGTGTAAAACTGGTATAATGTTCTTAGCTAAAGTAATAAACTTGTTACTGCTGTGAAGGGAAAACAAAAAATGTGATATCCATGTGAATCTCACATGGATTTCTCATAAATTGTTTAGATTAAATTCCTTTAGTTCGTACACCAAAATTCAACAGTTCCAACACATTCCACTAGTTGATAGGTCTAACTTAGGCTTCACTAGTGATGAAGGTTTTAGTGAAGATACTTAGTGGGCCACTAATACATGAAAAGAACACAGGGTTCTCTCAGTGGCCCAGGTGGAGGTTGAGATGATGAAATTGGAAAAACAGCTTATAAGATGTGCAGTTTGCACTGCTAGGGAGATAGACAGAATGAACTTTGGAGAACACTCTGATTTCTTGGCAAGTCGTTAGGATGAAATTGAGTAGAAATAAATGAGGTAGGAAACCTAATGAACAACCACAATGTGAAATAATTAGCTAGGCCTCGGTACTGCAGACAATCTACAATCTGTGAGGTTTTAGTTAGTCAAAAATGAGTCAATAAATGAGATGCTATTGTATAAATGCAAATATTATAGATGGACTAATGAGACCTTTGTGTATAAGAGAAATACAAACTATGATCTTCTCTGTAGAAAAGTATTAGAACTAAGTAATTAGTTACTATCTACTTCTACCATAGATAGGACATTTATAGTATAGAAGACAGATGAGATGCCAGGAAATTAACTCTGACCATAAATGTGGTGAAGAACTGGAACAGATTACCTACAGAGTTGTAAAGTCACCTTCACTAGGCTTTTTCAGGGCTAAGGTTAACCCAGCATGTGTCAGGAATGGAGTGAGTGTTCTCAGTCCTCAGAGAGAGGCATTAAGCACAGACATGGGATGTTTGTTTTGGTCTAATATCTTACCTACTAATGGGAAAATTGAAAATAAGAAAAATCAAATAAATTGTTCAAATTTTGCAGAAATTGGGAGTCAGGACCAAAGTGAAAACATTGGTCTTGTGGCTGGTAATACCCAGAAATCTATTCATTGACATTGTCATCATTTTGCAGCAAAGAATTCAGGTAGTTACACAACTGGAAGTTGAATTCATACACAAAATGTTACAGTATCTTGATATTTTCTAGCTCTCTTGCATTTGAGCTAGGACATCTAAGCTGTTTTCTGAACCCATTGTAACTCAAATTTTGGGGTTCTCTATATTTGTAAGTCAAATTTGTAAGTCACCAGTCACTCTCCAGAAGATTTTATAAGCCATCAGTACAAGGAATCTCCATTTTGCTGAAGCCCACAGGAGTCTAACCCTTGACATGTATGGGAACAGAATGAGTTTTGTGTCACTGTCTGGTTAACTCTGCTCAACTGATGTCTTTGTTCTTAAACAGGAATTAATGACTGAACAGGACTGTCGATATCTTATTGAAGTGGATGGAAATCAGCAACCAGATGATGTCTTTGAGGTAAACTATGCACCAACTAAATTAACCTCCACTAGAAAATAATTTCTCAATTCTTGGCATCGTTTTCCTGTTGGCAAAACTTTAAGCTGTGTTCAAAACTCATCCATTTACTGCTACAAAACATGACCTTTGAAGTGCTTGCTTTCCTTGCTCATTAAAACTGTTATGAGATTCACTGCACTGCCCTCAGGCTTTCATATATGTTACATGACAATATTTTCAGGCAGGCTACAAACTCTTTTGTGTTGTGTCCATCTGGTTTTCATGCTTTTTCTATGACTACTACTGTAAAATATCATGAGAAATTAAAACATTTTGGGCTTATTTTGTACTTGTGTAAAATAAAGCAGAAGCTTTATGAAGTTTGATATTGTTTTACAATGTAATAGAAGACACTTCATTTCTGTACCAGTTCTGCTGAGTGCACACAGAAACTCATTCTCCCTATAAAAAAGAATACAAGGGTAAGATTTGAAGGTAAATAATCTTATCCTCTGCCTCAGAATAAAGAGGTGGTTCAAATCAGAACCTGAGGTATGGGGTTGAAAATGAAGTTGGAGATTGTCTTTGACAATGTAGGAAGTGAGCTGCTCCTGCATTTTCTTCTTTGTTGTTTGAAACAAATTGTATCCGTTATAATTCTGTAAGTATTATGTCAACATATGCTTAAGTTTACTACTAGGAGGGGTCCTATGGGAAAACAAAGCCAGTGATTTTGCAGAGTTGGACATACAATTTTCTCATTGAGGATCTGTTTGTGAACATTAAAACACAAAATTCGTAGTAAGTGCAATCAAGTTATGCAATGATTCCAACCATTTTACTTACAAGTAGTGCAAAGAGCTATTCTGAAACTAGCCCAAACATGACAGAATTTGCTTTTTCATTTCAGGAGCACTTATGTTCAAGCAAGGTTACATTCAGGAAATGATTCAATTAAATCTAATATTGTCTGACTCTCATTGGAAGACATGTGGGTTAAATACCTCTTAAAATAGACTGCCCAAAGTTGTATTACTTCCAAATGTGCATAATCTGATTTCCTAAAGTGATTTGTGGGAAAGAATCTGTCACAGCCTTTTCCTTTAGAAGGCCCAGGATTCACAGCATAATGAGGAGATACAAAGGCTGTGATTTGACATTTGGCACTGCCTCTACCTACCAAATAGCTTGTTAAAACTCAGCTCCATAACTAGCATGACCCCGAGGTAGAAACTGGCCCTCAGTGTATATGTGTAGCCATTACATAAATAATAAGTTGCAATTTCAGGCACAGTTTGGGGGCCCTTTCAGATCACAGAAGCAATTTTGATTGGTACTAAATCAAGAGTTATTTTCTCTTCAGTCAGTGGTAGTTCGGCTTCAATATCGGGATGTTCAAAATGCAGCTCCTGTAACTAGACTTCAAAGTCAGCAAGAAGAAATGCTGGAGGACCCAACAAATGTAAGTGTCTTTTCTAAATTGTAATTGACTGTAATAATTAGATTTATTTTTTCTGCTGTAAGCTTATTGTAGAACATCTTTGTTTCACAGCAACCAGTTTGTTTTACTGTGCAGTAAGGGCATATGTTAAGCCTTGATTTTCCAGAAATATGAATTTAAGATCATTCTGGGACTGAAATTCATTTTTAAAAGCATGAAAATAAAAAAATCCATCATTACCAAGAAAAGGTTAGATGATTTCCATAAAATTTTGAACAAAACAATTGTTTTAGCAAAGAGGAGGAATTAATTCCTTCCAAGAAAATGAAGAAACTTTAGCCAAAGGATAACAATCTCAGCAATTAACTCTTGGCTCAGTCTTTACTCTTTTCCTGAATGAGAAACAATATACTGACACAAATCCAGCAACATTCTGCATAACTGAAATCGCACTGGTTCTGTTTCCTGTTATTAATTAGGAACATGACAAGTCAGTGCTGAATTTAGCTGAATCATGACAATTATAATGTGTGAACCTTCCAAATAAAATTGAAAACCAGAAGCCTTTGTATTAACATTTTCACCTGTATTCAGCTGCAGTCACCTTTCCTATTGCTTACACCAAACTTTGACTATTTGAATGGCACTGTAACTGGGAGCCCCATCATACATTGTCAGAGCAACATCCCTCCCTTCACTTTCCTCTTTAATCATTTCCTGGCAAATTCACAAGGGCTTTCTGTGTCAGAGGTCATCTGCATTCATTATTGAGTTAGTTTGTGCGTTTGCTTTAGTTTGTGTATAAGATTTTAGTATCCACAGTATTTTGGGCAAGGAGTTCTGCATCTTAACTGGACATTATACACAGAATTGCTTCCCTTTGTGTTGAACCTGCAGCCTCTCAGCTCAGTGTCCTCTAGCTGCTGATACGCAGAAATGAGCAAATAGTTTTTGTTCTCTCTATCTGCCCTCAATAACTGTTGATTTCATACTTCTGCCCTGCTCTTATGTAGCTGTACTGAGGACTTCCAGGCTACATAACATTGTTCCTCATCTTTCTGTGGGATTGATAACTCATATTCCCTTTTCCTGAGACTTTTCCAATTTTACTGCATACTTGTTGGGTCAGGGCAGCAGGAGGCACATGGCAGTAAAGATGAAGGCAAAATTTACACAGTTGAAAATAAACCTTTATTGTCTATTCTCTCTTTGCTAAACATTCCTAAAATTCAGGTTGGTTTTCTGACTGCTCTTGGACATTGACCAAGTGTTTTCATGGAAGTATGTATTCCAGGATATCTTCCTGAATGCTCAGGGTCAAAGAAAACTCCCTTTTTTTCTATGTAAAACTGCTATTTTAATGCCTGGCTTTGTAGATTCTGAAGGTTCTTCTGCAGTTCTTCACAGACAGCATTTGTACTATTCTGAATAATTTAGACTTACCATAAACTGGAGGATTTGCTCACTATTCACCTTCTGTGAAAGTTCTGTAAAACTTACCCCATCACATGATATTTCTGCATGCCTAAAATAGATACTTTGGCCTTGCTGTTCCTGACAGAGACTGCTCCTTTTTTCAGCCCCTTTAGAGGAAATCTTGGCCATCATTGCAATCAATGGCTCTATAATTTGAAACTTCTGGAAGTAATAAGTAAAGCCTACAGGAACTATTTGAAGAACTATTTTTGTTAAATAAACCTGAAAATGAAGTAATTTCTCCTTCAAATTGTCCTACAATTCTGAAATATATAATTTAAATAAAAAGATTATTTTAGAATGATGTGGTTTTCTCTTTAGGTTTGCTTGTTTTCCATCAGTCTAAGAAAAAGGCGTGTGTACCTTCTGGCAAAACTCACATATGCTGTTATTGCTGTTTTAATAAACAGGATAAACTTTTCCGGGTCCTGTCATCTTGCAATCCCATAGCTCCCAGGTACCGATGGCGTAGAAGCAGGTGGGGAAAAGCATGTCCTGTGGCTCTGAAGGAAGGTGACATTGTCATGGGAAACCCAGACTTGGCTGTCAGGTTAGAGGAATTTGGCACTTTCAATTTTTATTTCTGTTTTATGAGATAACTGCTGTATCTGTTACCTTCTCTTCTGTTTTAAGTTTTCTAGGTAAAATGTATGTACTGTCATCCCCAGAGGCACTGAAAACATTTATGCTGAATCCACGGCCTTACCTCTTACCACCAATGCCACTTCCTCCTTGCAAAGTACTAGTGTTTGGTCCTCCATTCTCTGGAAGAACAACTCTTTGCAACCTAATTGCACACAAGTATAAAGGAAAGGTGGGTTTGTAAATGTCTTACAGAGCAAGGGTATCAGCTGAGGCTTTGGAATCAGTTAAGCACAGTCCTATTCCTGTTGTGTTATTAACATGCACTTTGCAAATATATGGAGTGCAGAGGAAACATAATCATTTAGTGAAATTCATTTGTATAAAACAGTTCAAAAATATTTACCCTCCATAAAAGACAAATATTTATGTGTCAATTATTTCATAGAATCATAGAATCAACCGGGTTGGAAAAGACCTCGAGTCCAACCCTACTGTGGTTACTAGACCATGGCACTAAGTGCCACATCCAGTCTCAGCTTGAAAACCTCCAGGGATGGTGAATCCACCACCTCCCTGGGCAGCACATTCCAATGCCTGATCACTCTCTTCATAAAAAATATCTTCCTAATATCCAACCTAAACCTCCCCTGGCAGAGCTTGAGTCTGTGCCCTCTTGTCTGGTTGCCTGGGAGAAGAGACCAACCCCCACCTGACTCCAACCTCCTGTCAGGGAGTTGTAGAGGGTGATAAGGTCTCCCCTGAGCCTCCTCTTCTCCAGGCTGAACACCCCCAGCTCCCTCAGCCTCTCCTCATGGCACTTGTGCTCGAGTCCCTTCACCAGCCTCGTTGCTCTTCTCTGGACCTGCTCCAGCACCTCAATATCCTTCCTGACCTGAGGGGCCCAGAACTGTACACAGTACTCAAGGTGTGGTCTCACCAGCACCAAGTCCAGGGGCAGAATCACCTCCCTGGTCCTGCTGACCATGCAGGATGCCATTGGCCTTCTTGGCCACCTGAGCACACTGCTGGCTCATGTTCAGCTTCTTGTCTACCTTGTTTTTTGTTGTAACAAGAATATTATGCGTAATTTCATATCTAAGATAATATAAAAGAAAATGAAAAATATTTTTTCCACAAAACCCCCACCTGTACTTGAATTATATGTAAACTTCTCTAAAATCTGCAGAGCTTTTCCAAGTGCATTTCATTTTATAGGAGTTGGATCAGATGCTATATATCTCTATTTTTTCAAATCATTTCACTAGGTTCTTGATATGGCCAAACTCATTGAACTCCATTTAGAAGAATCAAGAGAGAAAAACATTGAGGAAGTGCAAAGGGATGCATTAGAAAAAGCTATAACAGCAGTGAAAAATAGATTGGAATTAGAAGAACAGTCAACAGAATCAGGTGAATAAAGTGCTCCATAGCCTTTGAAACTATCTTGCTTGCTTTAGGATAGTTAACTGAAGTGATTGCTGTCACTTCAACTTCTAAAAAGTGATAGAAGTTGTTATGGTTGCTGTGCATTAAATATGAATGAAAAGAACATGCAGTGAATGGAACAGATCAGTAGTACTCAGTACTTTTGAGATATATATGTATATAAATCCTCCAAATTTGAGGGCCATGAGTGTGTAAGAGTTTTCTGAGCTCTGAGCTGAATGAAAGTAGAAATTGGTTCTGACCAATACTGGCTGAAAACTTTCCATTTGAATGACTTTCAAAGGTTAGGTTTTAAAAAGTCTGTATTGCTAGGAATGTCAGAGGTAACTGCTGACCACCCAGAAGTTCAGGCAATGGTAGAAGAAGCCATAAAAAGTGCCTCAGTCTCTGAAGGTACCCCTGAAACATATGCTGAAGTACTGGGGAGAGCCATTGCAGAGGTAAGACTACAAGTACTACATAGCAAAGAATTTTTTTCTCTGAGCAACCTGTAACAGTTTATACATTATCGACACGTTCTTAATTTTCCTGTTTGAAAGATCAGTTTAGTTTATATCACATAGCCTGAAAGCTTATATGAGGTTGAGGAGAGACTGAGCAAGATTGTGAAAGACAAATCTATTGAGGACTGTTTTATATACATAGAACATATGTATGATAAATTATTTCTGTCTTGCAAATTGCCTGGGCTACAAATTGTTGAAGGCTGGGAGAATTTTCTGAGGTATCTCTGTATGCTTGCCTTGTTCTTGTACTCTCAGTCACTGTTAAAGAGCTCAACTCAGATACAAGAGTTTGAAAAGAGTTGTTTATGAAGATTTATCTAAGAACCTCAGAACACCCATAAGCTGAGTTAGATTAGATGTTAGGAGAAATGTTTTCCCTGTTAGGGTGTTCAGGCACTGGAATAGGTTGCCCAGGGACATGGTGGAGTCACCATCCCTGGAAGTGTTTCAGAGGCATCTGGATCTGGTGCTGGAGGATATGGTTTGGGGTTTAGGGGTTACACAAGAGTGGCAGGTTAATGGTTGGATTCAATGACCTTTGAGGTCTCCTCCAACCTTGATTATTTATAGACAAGCTTAAAAAATCATCACATCAATCTCTTTTTGTTTAAAATGTTTTTGATTTTGTTCAGATGTATAAAGTTATAAATTTCTTACTTCTTGTTCACCTGAAATGACAATAAAGAAAAACATAACATTTAGAAAATAATTTTATATTGTGCAGTCTTTGTGAACAGCTGACAGACTCTCTATGTTACTGAACCTGACATTTTATAACAGCTTATGAAGAAGAACAAAGACAGGTTTCCTGGTGCTCCAGAAAAAGGAGGATGGGTAGTGGATAACTACCCTCTGTCAGTAGATCACTGGTCAGCTTTATCAGAGAAAGGACTTCTGCCTGACACTGTTGTCTGTCTGAAGAAAGCAGAAAAAGATGGTTAGTAAATGCACACTAATGGCATTTAATTTTTTATTGTATTTTTCCTGCATTGACACGTCTATAAAGCATACTTAGGAGAAAAATTAGTAGTTGTGTTCAATTTATAAAGCTTCAAGGGCTAGAGAAGGAATAATCTAGGAATCAACAAGAGTCTTCCAGATTTCTTACAATTTAGATTAAGTGACTTAGACAGAATTGAAAACAGGAATTCTTGCAAAAGCAGTAAAGCAAATTCCTCCTATTTATAATCAGTTTTCATTTTTCTCCTGTTGACAATCAGCAGTAAATACCACTGGCCTCCTGTAGTTGCAGGTTTTTGCATTCTGTGGCTGGCTGGCCACCAGCCTGCAATGTGGCCCTCAGTCAAACTTGCCTGCCTGTGCATTGGTTACCCCAGTTGCAGAATCCAGTTGCAGGTATGAACTTTCTCTGCTTGAGAGAAAAGAGGGAGAGAAAAACCTGCATGTAGGTGTATCTTGTTCTCTAGCCTGGGATCAAAAAAAATCATAACTTCTTACCCAGACTGACATAGTAGCTTAGCACCCATGAATTCAAAGGGATTTTTACATCCCTCTTTCAAGCAGGAAGGAAGGTTGGTACCAGGCATGAATAACTAAACATATTCATATGCTGTTAAAGCTTTTGCCTGCCAAATCATGTCTTAATGGATTATGCCTGCTTGATTCATACCACACCACAAGTTTAATTGACCTTTGACAATGGGTAATTGTTACCTGTTCAACCCAGTCCTTTACCAAAAGGTGGCAGAAACTTCCTTTCAAAAAAGTTCAAGAAAGCTCAGTAACTGCCCAACACTGGAATCACAGAATCATAGAATTTTAGGGGTTGGCATGGACCTTATAGATCATCCAGTCCCACCCCTCCCTGCAGGGGAAGGGTTTAAGAGACATCTGGGTCTGACACTGAAGGATATGGTTTAGGGGTTATAGCAGTGACAGGTTAATGGTTGGACTTAATGATCTTAGAGATGTCCTCTAATCTTGATGGTTCTATGATTCTATGAGTAAAGTGAGGTGAAAGAGATGATAAAAATGTCTATTATACCCTTTGGCTGAAAGTGTAACTTTTTGCTTGTGGATACATTTCCTTGAATTTAGCTATTTTGTTTCATTTTGTTCTTTTTATTCTTTCTTCTTATTTGGACAATTGTGTTAACTCTTTATTTGATTCCCACTGATTTCTGTCACTGAAATATTCATTTAGTTGTGGAGTTTACATTTTCACAGCATTTGAGTCATTACTTGGTAAGCTATTCCCTGAACTGATCTAAATTGTCCTAAGTCCACCGGTGAAAATGGATTTCAGCTACACAGCCATATATCACAAATCTATCTGCCTGAGTAACTCAGTCAGTAGAGGCCCTAGTAGGAACAGCATATTTTTCATTTCTGTCAATCAGCTGTAGAGATATGTACATTATTTATGTTTTCATTTGAGTGTTTTTCATTTGTTTCTTCGTTTTCTTTGTACACAGGCAAATACAATAAGTGTCAGATTAATCATGATCCATGGAAATGTAAGATAAATCCTTTCAGTTCTGACTCCCCTCATGGCCTTCATCATAACCTCACAATATCCCAGACTCACGTTATTATGTGCTTGAAATTGAAAACACAGCTCTAAAACCATAGAAATCAACAGTATAACAACATTTCAGTGCTATATATGCCTTTTGTTGACTTTAAAAAGAAGTGAGAAAGATGTCTGTAATTTATTAAACAATATTCCTAACCCAATGGCTTTAGTTTTATACAGAGGCATAAAACTCATTACTGTGCTATGATTGTGCTGCAGGATACTTGGCAAATGGGAATGAAAATAAGTCTCAGATTTTGGGAATTCTAACAGATGAAGCATTAGAAAAGAAAGGAGAAGAAGTAAGGTAAAATATTCCAAACATCTGTATGGGCATAAGAAAATTCTACCCTCACTTTGTGTTAAAGGTATCAGTGCATTTATCAACACAAATGTACTAAAGCAATGCACTAAGACCAGGAGTGATGTCTAGATGTGTTCACTTTGAAGAGTATTTCATTTCTGTCATAAATATGGGGGCAGAAGAATCTCTTGCTAAATGCATTCTCAATAGCCTTTCACTAGTCTTTTAATGCAGTGAAACAATAGCATTTTAGATAACAAAATATAGTTGACATTTATTTTTTACAACCCAAATTATTCCACATCTTTACATTTAATATATCTGCAACTTGCTTCAGTAATATTTACGAAGGTCTGAAGATAAATAAACTTTTATTTACAGAACAGAAATGCAAGAAACCCTGACAACAGAGGAAAATCAGTTTCTAGGGGCTGCTGAGGAGAAAGGTGAAAGTATGTATGATTTGACTTCTATTTTATCTAATTATGTGATTCAAATCATTTAATGATTTGGGGTTTTATGCAGATTTTACAGTTTTGATTTTCTTTTTACGTTCAGCATCTAGGAAGTTGAGTTTATGTAACTATCGTCACTGATTCAGGCACTCGTTTCTGTGTGTCATTCTTCATGGATGTTACAGAATAGACAGTTTTCATTGAAGCAGCCAGCACTGTTATGGTTTTCAGTAAATCCAAAGGACAGGATTCTGTCTCCTCTAGTAACTTTTCTAAGTCATTTATTAACTGTCTTGATACTTCCTACTCATCAAAAAATCTGTATCCCTTTATGAAACATTGTTAGAATGTATCAGCCAATAGCTAATAAAAATCACAGTACTGTCTGATTTCCTGTTCTTCCTACAAGAAACTCACCCTGAAGTTAAAAGGGAACAGAAATTTTTTCAGGAACGGCCCTCTAGTCATGCATTAAGAATTGCTCAGTGTGGTAGGAACATACATTATGAATTGCTGAATCCAGGAGCCCAGCAGAGGTGAAGCTGGTGGAGCTCCATGTCCCCAGAACCAGGCAGTAATGAGCCTGAGCATGTATTCCCATTTCCCCTTTCAATCTTCTCTTGCTTTATTATCCATGCTAGTTCCTCTCCAATCCACTTTGATCCTTCCTCCTCCTTGTCTTTGGTCCTTCTCAGAAAAGCCTCCTAATATTATAAATCTCCCATAATCCCAAACTGCTTTTCCTGGCATCTCCTAATGAATCTCATGTCCCCTAGGCAGTAATCAACATGACCCAGGGAGAGCCTCTCGGGGTGACTTATCTCAATAGCTTTCACACCCAGACCATGCCTTCATCATCCTCTTCTAATGGCCCTGAGGGGAGTCAAGTGAAGGTTATGTCTGGATTAGATTATTGGGGTTCCCCCATCTATCACTGTTCCTCCTCTCCTTTGTGCTTATAGAGATTAGCCTTTAATAACAGAACCTAACACCATTAAAAGCAAAGGAATTATGTGTACTGCCTGAGGTTTCCCCTCTGAGAAGAATATTCATAAAACATTCATAATTAATATTAATAGGTCTAGTGGGAGGTGTCCCTGCCCAAGGCAGGGGGTTGGGACTAGATGATCTATAAGGTCCACTCTAACCCCTAAAATTCTGTGATTCTATGAATAAAACAATCTGTGAGGAGTGAGATTTTGGCAGCAGGACAACTCTCACAAGTAGGCTGGATTTTTGCACCTCTGATAATTCTGTCAGATGGATTGAGGTTTAGAATTAGTTCCAGTTAGTTTCAATGGTTGGAACCTCAATAGTCAAAAAAGTTGCAGGGTTTTACTTCCCTTTTTGCCTTGATCACTGCCTACTTTCCTAGTCACTGTCTGATTTGGAACTGCTGTTGAGATGAATTACCATGCACAAAGTCCTTGTCTCTACATTAAGAACTAGGCTGGGGACTTCAGAATATTTTCTTACTCTGACTATGGGATCTCAAGGTTTCTCCATCATAGCCTAAATTATCACCCAAGGCCTGGAGCTGAAATTAAAAATCGAAGTGCGTAAATTCCCTCTTTTTTTTCCCTCTGATCAGAGGCCTAGACTGCCATTACTGTCTTCTTTTCAAACAAAACATGCTGGTTTCTGTACAAAAAAGTGATGGCCAAGCTTAAATTCTGTATTGCCAGTATGTCTCACATATACTTCCCTTGGCAGTATCCAGCCTGGCATTTATTTTATCTGTATATAACAAGGCCTAAATTGTAAATGTGGTATAAGGTAGACTGAATATGATAACATGCTTTTAATTAACTTTTCACCTACTCCCTGAAAAAATACTCTAGCTGTGCAGAGTTCTTTAATTTACATATAAACTTTTAAAAAATCAACATTACAACTCTTTAGTGTCTCTAATAAAGCACATAACTCTTCTCCAAAGTGAATGAGTTCTGTCATGTTAAATATAAAGGCTTCTACAAAGATACTCTATTATCTGTGTCTCAAGCAACAAAGTTCATCCTAGTTTTGACTATCTAATTCATTTTGATTTAAGTACATCAAAACAACATTTATTAATGATAGAAGTCATAATGTCATGCACACACTTGTGCTCTTAACACGTGGTAAGTCCTTGTTCAAAGAAAATCATGTTTTCTTATGCTTACATTTGATGTCAGTAATCAAACACTGACTCACCACAACATTTCAGTCTTGCTGCAGTTAGCCTGGCATCTGTTTTATTTTATTTCACATGTAGTGCCATCAGCACATTGACTGCAGCTTTTCTCCCATGTGACATGTCTTTAGAGAGACCTAAATGAGTGATATGTTCACAGTTTGTTGGTTGGGGGTTTTTTTAGATAGCAGTTATGATGCAAAAATGATAACTTGGAAAAATACTCCAGAGCCTCAATCATACTCTTTTTGATTCTCATATATAATATCATGTGGGAATGGCTCAAAGTTGCACCAGGAGAGGTTTAGACTGGACAAGAGGAAGCATTTAATTACTGAGAAGGTGGTCAAATGCTGGAACAGACTTCCCAGAGAGATGGTTGATGCACCTACCAATACCGTTAATAACATGCTTAACTTTGGATCATTCTCCATGAACTGCTGCAGTGTGGGTCACTCTCCACAGGGTGCAGTCCAGTCCCTCAGGGACAGTTGCAGTGCAGGTTCCCCCACAGGATCACAAGTCCCACCAGGAACTCTGCTCCAGTGTGGGTCTCCTCTCTCCAGAGGTTCACAGGTCCCTGCCAGGAGTCTGCTCCAGCAGGGGCTCCCCACGGGGTCACAGCCTCATTTGGGAATCCAAGAACTCCAGCATGGGTCTCCTCCATGGGCTGCAGGTGGATTACTGCACCCTCTTAACTTCCATGGGCTGCAGGGACATAGCTGCCTCACCATGGTCTTCATCACAGGTCTTACGGGATCCTCAGCTCCAGTGCCTGGAACACCTCCTCCCCTTCCTTCTCCACTGACCTTGGTGCCTGCAGAGTTGTTTCTCTCACATATTCTCCCTCCTCTCTGCTCTGGCCACAATTACTTCTGCACAATAACTTTTTTCCTTTCTTAAATATGTTATCCCAGAGGTGTTACTACCACCACTGATGGGCTCAGCCTTGGCCAGGAGTAAGTCTGTCCTGGAGCCACTGGCATTGGCTCTGCCAGACATGGGCAAGCATCTAGCAGCTTCTCACAGAAGCCATCCCTGTAGCCCCCACCACTGCCAAAAACTGGCCATGCAAACCCACTACAAACATTCAACAGGCAGATGATGTGTGCTCAGTCCAACAGCCTCTAAATATATTCCTTTTGGGTTTTTTGAAGGCTTGCATCCTGATTTGTGTTTTTTTATACATGTAACTGGAGGCTTTTCAGGGAGAGAGTTTGAACAAGGACAGTTTATTACAGACAAGAGATAGCAAATTACTTGTACTACAGACTTCAAAGCAAGCCACAGTGATACTGACTTCACAGTTTGTTCAATCTTTGTGTAAAGTTGCATGATCTTCAGAGCCACTTTCTGCCCTCCTTCATGAGACAGATGTGATAATTACACTTTAATACCTGTAATCACAGTGTTTTAGCTGGAGAAATTTCAAAATTTGAAACAGAAAGAACATCTTTCTCAATTAGATCCCAAAATTAGATAAACCTTAGTTTATAATGGAATAGTCAGGTTCAAGTTACTTAAACACTTCAAATGCACTTAAAGGCACATTGGTATTGCCTGATAAAAAATAACACACCACATATTTGCACTCTGAAGAACAACAAAACCTTTACTGCCTAAATACCAAAATAATAAATGTGTACAGAGATCTATGGAAATAACACTTGAAATGAGCATTGCTGAAATTCCAGGTTGATAAAAGCTCTTGTATTCAGAAATCCATGAGCACTCTCTACAGGATGAAGTGTTAATGGAGGGAAATCAGATGAAAAAACCTGTTGAAAGTCAGTCTCATGGTTTGTAACTCACACACACACACACAAAAGTAGACAGAACAAAATACCAGGAAAAAATGAAGGGAAAAAACGGCCACGAAATAATCAAATTGCATATTCATAAACACCTACATGTGATTTTAACAAATCCTGTTTCTACAGACCATTTAAAAATTAATATTATGTCTGCATTAATCAGAAATTACTAGTCAATTCCCTGTGGAAAGGATCTTGGCAGAAAATGGGAATGGATGAATACTAACTTTGGGTAAGAATGATCAAAATATGTCCTGTATTTTCTGAGTCATCCATTTTCCTGCTAATAGCTTGCCAGATTGCACACAGATTCATGTTTTCTTCTTTTTGTTATTAGACCAAATTCTGCAGCACATGGAACTGCACAGAACAATAAGCTAATGAAAAGAAATCCTTTATCAACTTTCTCTCAAAAAGCCATTTTGAAGGCAGCTCATCTTTAATGGGGATAGTCTGCTTTTGTTTTTAAAATACACATTTAGCTTTTCTCTACCGGAATTTTTAGAATATTTTGTAGTCCAAACCAGAAATAAATCCAATCCAAACTATTTTATTTAATAACAAGTTGTTAAATATACACATTTTATGCATTAGAAAGAATCCCCTTAATCTGCAAACTGGAGTTGTCTTTCCAAATGCCAGGAATCAGTACACATGATTTAAGTTTGTCTATAAGTACATTTCATTGTAATATGCTGAAAGTTATTTGGCAGTATATGTTGATAAGTAAGTAATGAAAAGTCTGTATAAACAAACTACATGGTCTGTTTCAGAAAGACAATTGAAAATATGTTCAAAGTGAAAGACATATCTGTTCCAAGAAATAGAAGTGTCACTGTTATCCTACATTTTGCCTTTGTGTTTATTTTGATAGCTAAGCTCTGATGAAGAAGACATTCTGGCTTTTGGTGCCTCTGTCTCAGCTATGGCAGGGTTTGAGAGGGAAGGAAAGAAGGATTTTTTTATCTTTTTTTTGTTGCTGAATATGGACTGAGGGCAGAAAAAGTCAT